TAAAAAAAAAAAATTAAAAAAAAAAATAAACATTAAAAAAAAAAAGACTGAGAAAAAAACAACTCTCACTCATATAAACAAATAAACCTCATATAAAAAACTACATAACTAAACGTATAAGGAATCATTAACAAAATAAATGTAAAAAAGTACAAGTGCTATAGAAATGCAATTCATTGAATAGGAAACCCATATAGCCAGTAATTATTAAATATATATGTGCATGTGTACATATGTGTGTATACGTGTACATACATACATATATTTAACCTCCCTAGTAATCTCAGAAGGCTTTACAGTAGTAACAATTTTGCATTCATTTGCTCAAGTAGAAACATTTAATAGTTCAACAAGATCAAATTTTGGCAAGAATGTGGAACAAATGGAACTTTCATGCTGCTTGTGGATTCGTGGAACTATGATTTGGAGAGCAATTTGGCAATATCTAGTAAGAGTGAAGAAATAGGTACCTCCTAACAGTGCGATTCCACTTCTGGGTACAAAGACAGCCATTGCAGCATTATTTGCATTACTGGCAATGTGAACGCACCTAAATGTCTAATGCCTACCAACCCAAGAACGAATGAACACTGGTATAATTCGTGTAATAAAATATTATAAAGGCTGCTGAAAAATTAACCACCTTTCCAGCCATAATTAAGTGATTCCAGGCTAGTCCTCCCACCATAAACAACTATAAACATGGACAAACTGTATGAGGCAACTACTGTCAGACAGAGAACAAGAGGAAGTACAAGACTGATCCCTGAGAGGAAACTCCTGAGGTGAGCCTTGAAAATCACTTAGTTCCTCTACGTGAGGGGAATTTCCCAAGTTCAGTGCAGACAGCTAGAGTAGGGCTGAGGAGGCAAAAATCAGACTTCAGGATAGCTGAAATTGCTGGAAACCACTGGGCCGAGCAAGGGAAAGGAAGATGTCATGCAGACAGGGATTTCCAGAAGTCTATGTGTGAGTCCCCTAAAAATCTGTGGCTGAAGGCTGGAATGATGGTTAATTTTATGTCTCAATTTGACTGGGTCTCAATGTGCCCAGATACTTGGTTAAAGATTATTTTAGGGATGTTTGTGAGAGTATTTCTGGATGAGATTAACATCTGAATTGGTAGATTAAGTAAAGAAGATTCCCCTTCCATAGTGGGTAGGCCTCAACCAATCTGTTGAGGGCCTAAATAGGACAAAAGGCCTGGGTAAGAATTCTCTGCCTGGCTTTGAGCTGGAATATCTGTCTTCTCACCCCTACCTTCAGACTTGAACTCGGAACTCACTATCAGCTCTTCTGCTTCTTAGGCCTTTGGCCTCCAACTGAAATTATACCACTGGCTCTCCTGGGTCCCCAGCTTGCTGACTACAGGTCTTGGGACTTCTCAGCCTCCATACTGAATGCACCAAATCCTAATAAGTGTGTGTGTGTGTGTGTGCGCGCACACGCGCGTGCACGCGCACATGCATGTATCCATCCTATTGGCTCTGTTTCTCTGGAGTACCCTGAATAATATAGTTGGGCTGTATATGCACAGAGAGACCACCTGCGGATTACCAGAAAGCAAAGTACTAAATGGGTTAAGATTAGAACAGAAATACTAGAGTTAGAGTGATCCTGGGGTAAGAGCACTGCCAGGGGAGTTCTGGCCCTACCAAAATGGAAAGATCTCATAAATGCATCTTTAACATCCTTGGCATCCAGCTGAAACAGCAGAAAGGTTACAACTTGAGGTAAGGACCACAGTCTACAGTAAGACCTATTCTAGGTCTGCCTTAATAAATTCTAAAATCAAACCACGACAAGATCCACAGGAAATGAGTTTGGAGGTTGCGTCTCACCAAGCTAGTGGGGCTTGGGAAACACTTTAGGCTCTCCACTGATCTGTAAAAATAAAACAAACCAAGGACAAACAAGCATAAGGTCATTAGCCAGTAATGACACTGCCTGCCAAAACAAGAGCCCATATACTTCATGGAGAGATAAGAGACTCCAGAGTATTGTTCACAACATACAATATTCAATAAAAAGTCATGTAGACATATAAAGAAACAAAACAATGGGATCCATAGTCAAGGGGGAAAAGAAGCAGAATGTAGAAATGAACGCAGGATGGTCTAAATGTTAGATTTAGGCAACCAAAATCTTAAAGGAACTATTATAAATACATCCAACGAATTAAAGAAAAGCATGGTCTTTTTTTTTTTTTTTAAATGTTTTATTTCTAGCAGAGAGAGAGAGAGAGACAGCATGAGCAGGGGAGGGTCAGAGAGAGAGAGAGTCACAGACTCTGAAACAGGCTCCAGGCTCCGAGCTGGCAGTCCGCACAGAGCCCGACGCGGGGCTTGAACCCACGAACCGCGAGATCATGACCTAAGCGAAAGTCGGACGCTTAACCGACTAAGCCACCTGGGCGCCCAAAGAAAAGCATGGTCTTAATGTGTAAATAAATAAGGCATCTGCAGAGAAATGGAAATTATAAGGAAGAAACT